AGGTTTATTTAGGTTATGGCAAATAGCAGAATCTCTTTTTGTTTGTAAGGACAAGCAATATTCTGCTGCATATGTGTGTGTGTCACAGTTTCATTATCCATCTGTTCATTGATTAATACCTACATTATTTCCACATCTTGGCTATTGTGAATAATGCTTCTGTATATCAAAAGGAAATTAAATCACTATGTCATAAGATATCTACATGCAATATTCTTTGCAATATAAGTCTTTCAAAAGATGTACAAAAGGAGTAAAGAATGGTAGAGTGAGGACCTCTGTGAAGCCACTCCTCCATAAAACCAATGAAAATGAAAATGGTATTAGATCTATGTATACACACACACATATATATGTATGATTACTAGAGTGAGTCAAATTGTTAAATTTGACACTGACAAAAATTGTTAAATCAACTTTTCTATAACTCTAAAAGTTAAGCAAACACTTGCAAAAAATCCGAGGAGCATTTATTCAAGAAATGCCTAGTATCTCTAAGGACAGCAGAATTTGTTGTGTTCTAACTTGACCTACTCATCTGCTACCATAGCCCTCTCCACAGCTCTACAGTAATAAAAAGATAACTCATGAAATGAGTAAATACTGCAAATCATATATATACTCAGGGACTTGTATCTAGAATATATAAAGAACACTTAAAATTCAATAGTAAAATACCAAATAACCCAACTTTTAAAGTTGACAAAAGATCTAAATTGTCACTTCTCCAGAGAAGGTACTCAAATGGCCGATAAGCTTATGAAAAGATGGTCAATAACATCAGGCATCAAGGAAATGCAAGTCAAAGCCACAGTGAGATAGCACTTCACACTCACTACGATGGTTATAATCAAAAAGAGAAGAACGCATTCTGGTGAGGATACAGAAAAGTTGGAACCCTTATGCACGGCTATTGGCAATGTAATATGTTGTAGCTACTGTAGAAATCAGTCTGGAAGTTCCTTCAAACATTAAATGTAAGTTACCATATGAACCAGCAATCCCATTCCTATGTATCTGGTATATGTACCCACAAAAACTGGTATGCAAGAGTTCATAGAAGTCAACATTCATAGTTTGGGCTATTTATAATACACAAAAAGTAGAAACACCCAACTGTCCATCAATGGATGATTGGATAAATAAAACCTGTTAAACCTTTACAATGGAATATTATTCTGTAATTAAAAGGAAAGAAGTAGTACTATACACTACAATATGGATGAACCTTGAAAACACTTTGTTAAGTGAAAGAAGCCAGACACAAAGACCACATATTGTACACTGCATTTATAAGAAATGTCCAGAAGAGTAACAAGAGGTAGACAAGAAGTAGACTGGTGGTTGCCAGGTTCTGGTGTGAAAGGGAAAGCGGAATTGAGTGCCAATGGGAAAGGTTTGTTTTTTGTTTTTTTCCAGGATATTAAAAATGTTCTAAAGTTTCATTCTGATGGTTAAATAATTCTGTGATTATACTAAACATCACTGGTTTGTATGCTTTAAATGTGTGACTTGTATAGTATGTAAATTCTACCTCAATAAAGCTGTATTTTTTAAAGTTTATATATTTCTTAAGAAAGAGAAACTCAACAGGGTCTTCATTACAGGATCCACCTTCACCTCAGACATGTCAAAATCATGAGCACACACATGCTTGGTATACTTAGAAAGGTCTCTGGACATGAACTTGGAACCATCCCATGTGGGTCAACCTCCCAGAGCATCTTGTTTCACCACTGCACCACCATCCAAACCCTAAAGCTGCTTTATAAAAAGCACTATTTATGTGTATGAGACAGTTGCCAATAAGGGGCACCTTCCATCCTAAAGCCTCCCAGGCGGGGAAAGAGCTGACTTCTCAAATCACTTTCCTGTTTGTTCTAGGTTAGTCCTGTTCATGTCCAGAGGAAGACAAAGATTCAGATAGAAATGTCAGTAGCTCCTAACAATTTAAGTTCCATTAGGTCTACACTTGACCAGGAGAGCTGGCTACCCAGCACAGAAATCTTAATTGGCTCATTGCTCCTACAGACTGTTATCCTGGGGTCCCTGATCCTCTCTTGAATTGTCCTGATGCCTTTCAATAATTCCAGTTATTTAATCTGCCCCAACTTCATACTCTCAAACAGCAGGTTGTGTAATCTGCTCTGCCATAGGTAGGAAAATAATGTTCATCAAGCAGGGAAAATTGCAGCCAATGACTCATTTAATTCTTACAACAATGCTATGAAACATGTACTATTATTGCTATTTTACACATTGGAAGATGGAGCCATGGAAAGGCCAAGGTCACAGAGCTAGTCAGCACCTTAAACCCAGATGAGTGCCAACAATAAGGTGCTTAACCAAAACACCATTCTGTGTCCTAAGAAAAGCTTATTCATACCATTCCTAGTTACTCTCCCTAGTTTCTGCACATATGCAGTTATCTAATGAAAAGCAAGTCTGTGTCTTATTCACCAGTTCCCAGTTGTCCCACAAATGAAACATAGTTTATGGTTTTAAATCACTGTTCTGGAAAATCAGATCCCAACACTGATTTTATATTACCAGTTTACCCAACCTCCCATCTTTGTAGCAATTCCCACTTCAGAGCAAAAAATTCTATGCAAAAGTTCAGTGCAAATCTCTGAGACTTCCCTTGACCTCTAATCAGGTGTACCCTTCCAATACTCTCAACACTCTCCTTATTCCCCATTGTTGCCATATCAATAAATACTCTTAGAGCTGTAGAAGTCACATCTGTTGGGGTTCAGGAGACATGAAATGAGGGAAGGCTTCACAGAGGAGATTGTACCTGCCTGAAGAGCAGAAATGGAGGGGGAAAACATTCCAAAATAAGAATAATATAAGTGGGGCCAGCAGTTAGCATGGTGGGTTAAGGGTGCTGGCCTCCCACATGCCCAACCATGGTTTGAGTCCTGGACCTAGCAGCTTGCTTTCTCTGCCCCCACCTACCTACCCCCCACCCCCGTCAAATTAAAAATAAGTAAGTAAGTAAATAAAGTTAAAAGAAAAAAAGAAAGAATAGTATAAGTAAATGCATGAATAGCAGTCAAGAAAGCAATCATCAATAAAGTAGTAAACTTCAATCATTTTTGGCAAATAATACTAATTAACTTTGCCATTGTTGATAAATTGCAACAGAAGTATGGAAAGGTAAATTGAAACAACACTAAGGTAAGTGTTTAAAGATAAGGAGAATATGGAGGAAAAAAAGAGAATAGAATAATCAAAGTCAAAATTTGTGTATCGAGACAGAAAAGAGACAAAAATATGAAGAGGTGGCTTCAGAAAATGGGCAGAATTAGGCAAATTACTTGGAATTTCTTTGCACCTCATTAATGTTTTGTTTATTGTCTAGCACTCCCATTACACCACGGGCTCCAGCTCCATGAGGGTCCTGATCATATCTGTTTTGTTCACCACTCTATATCCAAAGCTTTGTGCATTGTCTGGCACACAACAAGTGGTTAATAAATATTTGTTGAATAGTAAATGATAAGGATGGGGGGGACAAGAACCAAAAAACAAAGACTTAGATTTCAAGAATAAATGACTGAGAGAATACAGAGGTTGGAAGTGGAGAGAAAAATAATGTTTTAACCTTACACATGAGTTTGAAAAGCCCCAAGTGTTCATATTTAGCAAAGTTCCATATGTAGACAAGTTCACATTGGAGGGGGTGGGCAGTGGAGATAAACTGTTAGCCTCATTATGAGTAGGAGTTGAGATCATGTGGGAGGGGGGAAGCTTTAGAATGGGAGGTGCCCCGGAAGTGACGGTAGTGATGCCCGTTAGAACAAAGTAGCTCGAGAGGGAGGAAGATACGTTGAAAAGTGGCTACAGTTAGAGATAGGCTAACAGGAGGCGAACTGGAGGAAACATCAGGCCACAAGTATGAGAAAATCCAAAAAAGACTGGTCACGGGGAGACAGACGAAGATACCAAGGAAGGGGTGACTATTATCGTGAGGAGCCACATACTAGCCACTCCTGGTAAGACTACATAAGTAGCAACATGATTGTCAACTCAGAAGTGTTTGATGGCTTTAAGTGATTTTTTGAGGGATGGTGGGGCAAAGCTACATTGTGAGGTAGTTACATTGCTTGAGTGTGAGACTCTCCCTAGGCAGGTTAATCACTTTTTGTATCTTAGCTGTGAAATACAAATGATAAAATCATAATAATTACCTCACTATTTTTATAAGTAATAACTGAATATGGGGAAAAATGCTTAGGAAAGTATCTTGCAAGAGGTCACCACTTCAACATTTTAACTGCCATTAGAATATTTCATGGAATAACTAGTTTTGAAAAGGTGACTGGCACTGTAATTTTTGTTTTGAGGTCTGCAGGAAACAAACATCCTGGAATAAAGGACCAGGATGAGACTTTTCCATCCAATACGGCTAATGTGACAGTCACATAGTGGATAACAGGCAAACCGCAGAGTCGTTGTCGGATCGGCGAGGATCGGTTAGGCGTGAATGTTCTAGAACCCTCAATCATTCTCTTATCAGTCATGCGCAGTACGATTGCGCGCCTTTCCCGAAGCTCCACCCCCTTTTTTCTATATGCTAAAGAGCTTTAGGTCTCGTCTTGTGTCTCATTGGGCTTCAGCGTGCTTTGGTCCCACCTCCTTGGGGCAAAAAACTCCTCCTAATTGGACCGTTTCGTTTTAGCCTGTCCCAGAGCGCGTCATTAGAAAATTGAGATGAGACTAGATGTCTTGAGTATAGGTTTTCAAAAGCAAAGTTTGTTTCTCTTTTCTTTTAAACTAAGTAGATAAATAGAAAACAAGTAAATAAACAAAGTGGATAAGTGACAGTCGGAACTGAAAGGAGGTGGGACTTAAGGTTGGATCGTCGGGGTTCTTTTAACAACGCACCGGGTTACTTCCGGGAGAGAATGGGCGGGCAGAGAATTCTGTGCGTTTGGCGGGTCGCGGTCTCTTTCTAAATAGTTGATCTTCCATGCGGGGGGCCGCCCCCGGAGGCACGCAGTGACGCCGCCGCCACTGCCGGTTCCGGCAGTTTCGGGCTCCCCGATGGCCACGTCGGTGGTGAGTGTATGGAGGAAGGCAAGGTGCCTGGGCTCCAGGGCTCGGGTGAGAGGAGGGGCGCCGGGCGGGTGGCTGCTGGTCACATGGACAGGTGGCGAATCAGGGCCAGGCCCGCGGGGTTCCGAGGCGGGACCCACTCTGCTGCCCGCCCTGCCGCCCCCGCCCTCCGATGGCTGTGAGATCGCTTTCTGGCCCGGGAAAAGACCGTGAGGTGGGGAGAAGCGAGTGGCGAGGAGAGGGGG